ACTTAGTATAAAAAAAAGTTTTAGATAGAAGCGCTGTGTATTCGCACTTATAGTAAAATTTATATATAAAAAAAAAATTTTTATCCAGGTGACTGGCGGATTGCCTATTAATAATATAATTTTTGTAGTTAAATTATATTTTTTTAATAGATTTATTAATTCTTTTGCTATATTTATACTAGTATGTAATTTGCAAAAAGGAATTATATCTAATAAACACTTGTGCATTTGCCAATTACTATCTATTCAATAAATAGTTATTTCTAAAAAAGAATAATTATTTGCAGAAGTTCACATATCAGTTATTAATATGACTATGTCTGAAAATCTTCACTTAAATTTGCTTAATACATAAACTAATATAATAGTGACTTGGCACTTTGTAATATGGATTAAATTTATTTAGCATTTCTATAAATAATTCTTAGTTACTAAAAATGGTTGTAAATCTTTAATTATCCAATTGATTAGATATTTATTATATTCAAGCTATTCTTCTTGATTATAAGAAATAATTTCAGTTTTTGTTTTTTGTTTATAAATATCAAAATGATTTTTTTTTATATATTTTTTTAAGGTTCTAGTAAATGTTGAAGGAGTATATTTAGCTATACAATATTTACAATCTTGTGATATTTCTAATTGATTAAAAAATTTATCCATTGTCAATTTTCTTTTCTTTTAGTATGATGAATAGGTCCACTATGATCAACTTGTAATAAGCAAGTTGATAAAGTTTCTAAATTGGATTCTGTATAAGTAGAAGTAGATCTAATAAGACCATTGAATATATTTTGAACATTTATATTTTAAATATTTATATGAGGTGGAATCAATAAAAAAGAAACAAATCATTTTAATAAAAATTTTTAATTTTTAAATTAAAATATCTCAGGTTAGGGTTTTGTAGCCTAGTGGTCTAGACACCTAACCCTCCACAGACGAGGTCAACAGTTTGATTATAGCTGGTGGTAATTAATTTAATTAATTATCTTTGTAACCTTTGGGAGCTTTTAAATGCAAAACCCTGTAGTGGTAAGACCATGTGATGTATATATTTGGCCGATAAAGAATTCTTGGAAAGAGCCCCGAGCCATGGAGAAGACTGGGCACTGTATGTAACATGAGTCACAGAAGGTATTACTGCAGAAGGCTGTGCGTATAAATCTGCAATTGGCAAAGTAGCACCAACAACCTTAAGGCGGCATTGGGATCTTGTTTGGGAGGATGGCTATATGCGGTATATTCAGAAGTGGTGAACATAGTAAGGGGCTGTGATAAGAGGATGGCTTTACCAAATATAGAACACCTCTGGCACAAGGAAATAAGGAAAACTGGCTAAAAAAAACTCTGAAAGTATGGAAGCACGTGATCCGGTAGTACAAAAATCAAGACAGGCTAGGGAGTAATAGTCGCACAACCTATATGGAAGTCTATAACGAAACATGGCAGAGGCACGGGTCCCGGGTTACTGGATTGTAATAGTAATTAAATGAGGTACTTAACTCCTGTTCTAAAGATCCAGACCCCTGTATTATCATACCAATAAGGAGTACTATAGAAGGATTGGTAGCCTAATTTGGTGGTATACAATGTTAATGCTTAAGAACTGTGAAATAACATCCTGGTTGCAGCAGCAGGTCCCGTACTTGTTTTAGATATGAACTAGGCCCTTAAAGTAACATCCCGAGGACACCAAACTGGAAGCATCAAGGGCACCCACTTGAGAGACACTAATTTGGAAGTAGTACAAGAAACAAATTAGGAGTAATGTGATAAGTACTGAGGGGTAGAAGTTAGTCGGTAGACGTTGTACAGTAGTATATATAGCGAGGTATATATGATTAGGTTTGGGAACCAACCGGTGATTTAGTAATTGTTTTGGTCAAAAGGGGTGGTTATTAAGGAGGTAAAATCTCATATAGCAGGTCGTACATAGGTACTAAGTTAGTAACTAGGTGAGCCTTATCTGTAATAAATTAGATAGTTGCAAATGTATATATGTATGTTTGTAACAATACCTTAGAGTACTAATAAACAGTAAAGGCAAGACTGCTGAATTAAAAAAAAAAAAAAATTAAAATATCTCAACAACTAATTAACCAAATTTGCTCAAAATTTTTTTATTTTAATTTTGAAATTATAAAGAATTAAAATAAAAAAATAATTATCAAATTTAATAATGTAATTGCTAAGATATTAAGCTTAAGTCAAGAAAACTTTTACTTAGAAAAAATTTGTCTCTATTTTATTAACTCTACCTTATATTTTGAAAGTTTATATCTAATATTATAGATGCTACTTTTCTTTTATTACTTTTTTTTTTCCTTATCTTTTACATATGGTGTTAGGGTAAATTTTTTTCTATACAATATTATATAATCTTTGTAGCCTAACACAGACAAAAAATAATATCATCATGACCATTTTCTTTGTGACTTTTTTCTCCTTTTCTCTTTTTTTCTATTTTGTTCTTGTTTTATTTTTATATAGTTTGGTTTTTTACCCTTTTTTATTTTCTTTTAATTTCTTGAATTTCCCATTGTTCGTTGGTAGATTCTTCTATCTAGGAGGCTAGGAGAAGAAGATTGAGAAAGAAAGCAGTTATGACGGGCTAGTAAACCAGGCCAGTGATCTGGGATGGGTCTTTCTAAGGTAGAAAGAACAAAACTGGGAAGGCTGAACTCATTTTTGACAAGTTGCACATAGATGCTGATGGTATTTAAATATCTAAAAGTAACTGGTAAGCCATATTTTCAGATTTTTGTCAAAAATGATATTGTGTGTTAATTATTTTTGAATAATTAAAGTGCATAAATAAAGCCAGACATGTAATATGACTGTCCAAATTTTAAAAAAATAATAATAAAAAATTATTATTGCCATTACAGTAATACTAAAAAAAAAATTGTTTATAATATATATTAGCTTCTAGATACTAAAGAGGTTTAAAAATAATATATATTTGAGTTATTGGTTAATAAAATCTAACAATAGTATTATAATTAATCAGCAAACTAATTTAACTTTTTTTGTATTGTCTAAATAAAATAAAAACATACTATATGTACTATATATTAGACTATATACAGTATATAGTATACTTTTTAAACTCATTATTATTATTATTAGCCATCTATATACTTTAAGTTATTTGTCTACAGTATGTGACAGAAGCTTATATATGGTGTAAACCAATCAGATTTCAGAATCAGGTGTAACGTAGCACGATTAAAAAATTCAGAAGCAAAGAGATTTCCTTGAAATATAAGCGCCTAAATCCTAATTCTAACTTAGACGCTCACCCTAACATAAACAAAAATTTTTATCGATACAGAGATTATAGGTGACACATCACACAAGTAACAAAGAACTTTATTATATATATATATATATGTATTATAAAAATAGCATATTCGTAATTAGAATATTAAAACCAACATATTAGAATTATATAAAAAAAGATAATTGTAAACAGGTTGATAATGACATATTGTAAAGTCTTGCATCTCGTGATTTCTCAATTTGAATAATACGTATTTATATCATTAGCTATAGTATTGCAGTGTTGTTGCAACAATTTTACAAGAATGATTCATTTTATTAACTACATCAGTATTGTTAAATTACAAAATTCCTGCGTAAGTACAATATATAATACATTTTAAAACTATGGATATAAGAATTTTCAAACTTCTAGAAATTAATTTTAACAGAAATAACTGTAATATATGGCAATACAACCAATTTTTGCCTTTGATACTGTAATAGTGATAGGTTTCCCTGTTTTGACTCTAAAAACAATCTAAGTTAATGTTAACGTTGATAGTGTAGACTAAAAGTTGATTAAAATGTACACGTTCTAAGTTTATACATGTTAGTACACCTTTATTATATAAAAAAAAAGTAAACCTATTACATGATGAAAGACTAAAACTGAAGAAGGAGCCAATGAAATTCCTGAACTAACAACAGGGGCTAATAATAAGTTCGGTGAATATGTGTGATTTGGTCTGCTATATGTTCCATATCTAAAAATAAGAATAAAATAAATGAATATATTGATTCTTTTGATATTTAAAAAGATAAATTCGATAAATTATAATACCCCATTGTTTCAAAGAATTTTCTTAATCTTGGTCCAATAGCACCAGTAAGTTGTCCATTGGGAAATCTACCTCCAAGTATAATGTCCTGCTTTAGTGTCTCTCCTGGAAGTAATTGATATCTCATCAGGAAGTCACTAGTATTAGTATATCTCGTATAATCCACATGATTTATACTATTGTACGGATCGAACACATTTGATGATGTATCGACCACGAACAAATCACTTATATTAAATGGACCCTGTGTACTAGGATTATGGCGAGAAGTTAAGTTCCAATTAACTAACCCAAGGGTTAGTGGTCGTGTTGATATATTCATCATCTCTGTGGCAATATTATATTGAGGCGATGACGTAAACTTTTGTTGAAAATCATAATAGCTTCCCTTAATATCACCTTCGCTAAAAAATTGATTCAATGACGCTGTCATATTCGAAATGTATTGTCCTGTATCAGTTAATACCAAATATTTATCAAATATATTTTCTCTAAATCCTCTCCAAGTAACTTGTTGATTGGGATCATAACGATCTTCCCATAAATATTCATAATCCTCTTCTGTTATCAACATAGGAGTAATATATTGTGGAGAATCATCGAGTGACCATGTGCTCCATGAAGTTTGGAAACCCAGACCATGACACAATTCATGGAGAACCAAACCTAAAAAGTCATATTGATTATATTCAATCGGTGGATCACCTTTGAACCAATAACTAAGGCCAAGGTTGAATTCGCCATAGATATCTGGAGTATTATATTCAGGATTAGAAGAATAGTTGAATTGTTTGACCAAAGATTGGGGATAGAGCCGTTCTACACCATCATTATCTTTTAACAAATATAATAACGTCGGTTGGGCGTATCCTTTAAGCAAAACGCTAGAATTGTTAAAGAAATTTCTTTTTTTTTATAATTAATTGAAACAAAAAAAACTGTTTATGCTTACCTGGGTCATATGCATAGTCTCCATTGCAAAGCGGGTCGTCTGCACAAAAATCATAAACACTAACATTGACAACAATTGACGATTTCAAGTATAAAACTGAGGATAAGATGCTTCCTGCATCTGAAAATGCTTGGACGACTTTTGCACAAAGTGTTGGATCATTTGATTGACATGCTATACTAAATATAAAATTCTTTCCGCTATTCGAAAGAATTTCCAAACTACTTGCAGAGGTGTTAACGATACCATTGGCATTAGTGGGAATAAAATCATCTGCATATTCATCATCTGTGTGATTTTTGTATTTTGTTGAATGACTGACAGGGTTTGTCTGTCCTGTTGGCCTTGGCAATTGTGTATCATGTCTTGTTTTAGAACTTTCTATTTGAGGTTTTCTGAACAATCTCTTTACAAGATTTCGATCAACAATTTTTGGATCATCACAATTTGTTCCAACAACAATGTTTCGCTTGCGTGGATTTTGATACCGAAAGCATTGAGTTGATTGTATAACACATATATTTATGGATATTATTATGAAAATAACTAATGTTAATAAAGAGGTCCAGCGCTTCATACCTTTTTATGATTATGCGCTAACGTTCTAATGATGGCGATAAAGTGATTGATAAAGCATACATATGATGAACGTTTTTGATAAAGGTCGCATGAGATGAGAATTATAAAAGAATTTGAAAATTTTTTTTTAATAGACAGTCATAAGATAAAATGTCTCGAAGAACTTGTGTTTAGAAACCGTTCCCGGAATCTGGAAAATGAGGAATTTACAATTATTTAAATCCGATTTAGAAATCCTCATCTCCCTGCGCCGACCAGACTTAAAAATAACAGTTATTTATTTGTAGAACAACGCTAACCTTAATGGAAGTATGTAAACGTAACTTTCCGTTCCCCATAATGAATATTCCTTATTTCAAATTTTAATCATCACATATAAGGAATGTGAATCTTAAATTTGATTGATTAGCTTAATTCGGAGATTCTCCTCAACACTAATAATAAATGCAACAAATGGGGTGCTACCTTAAAAAAATTGCATCTATTTATGTAACATTGCTACAAATTGATCTAAAAAATTGTTGTGATAGTGACCACAACATTGCCAAGCTTCGATCACGTTATGATATCATTGTTTTAAAACTTCAATAATTGCTAAAGTTTTTATGAGTTTAAAGCGATAATAAATTATTATTTCCCATGGATACGTAATTTTTTATTAATGAAAATCCGTAATCATTAACTAATTAGATCAAAGATTTACCCATGTCTACTATGAGGAATAACGATAAACCATGCCAATCTGGCTAGTTTTCAAATTAAAAGAAAATCGTGTAATTTTTTATTATAGAATTTTTTTTTCAAAACCTTTCAACAATATCATTTGAAATTCTGTTTAAAATTCAATGTCATCTTTGAAGCCTACAGTATTCAAAATTACCAAACATGATGACTCAACCATACGTCGTTTCACTTTGCCAACACCTAGCCCATCATGGGAAGAACTTTCGACAAAAGTAAGAGAAATTTTTGAACTTCCAAAACAAGTTAGAATAGGTCTAACATATTTAGACGAAGAAGGTGACGTTATTACTTTTAGTTCCGAAACTGAATTACAAGAATTTTACGATGATGAAAGAAATAGCTTGATGCAAGGCAATTATGGAGGGTTGATCAGGCAAGAAACGGCTATAAATTTGGGACAGGAAGGTAATATTATTATATCAAATAGTAGTATTAAAAGATTTGGTTTAAATATTTATGTAGAAAACCAAATTATTGATAATGAAGTTGAGGAAATTGAAGAGGTTGATGAGAAACAAAATAGAACCAATTGTACCCAACAATAAAATCGAATGTATAACCCCTGTTTTACTTTTTCAATACCAATAATTCTTTTTAGCCCTGTAAGGTTAATTTTTCTGGCAAAGATCCGAAATGCCCCTAAATTTACTTTTTGGCTTGCGTATATGCGCCTAATTACGAGCCATTAATTTTTGGGGCTTTGTTTTTATTTGTTTGTTTAAAATAACAGAGTTTTATTTTGTTATAAATCGATAAAGTACGATTGTTATCTTTAGATATTTTTAAATAAACTTAATATGCAAAAATAGCATGTGTATTGTTGGCCTTTTCTATAAAAAAAAAATTTTAATAAATTCAAAATTTAATGTTTTTTTTTCCTTTTTTTAAAAAAAGCAACCACCACCAATAAGTACATTAAGTATACACAATAATAGTAACCTAATAGGCAAACACTGCTTAGTGTAACGAGACATTTTAGAAATTTTAAATAGCTAGTTTTCGGTTACGCCCTTATTTCGTAATTAATACGGAAGGATTGTAACACATCATTGTGAATAATTAAACAACTCAAGTCGAGGTCTTGGTCACGTGAACGCCGAAGCAATGTATACGTAGGATAGGCTTAGGCACACTTAGTATCGGTATGTATTGAATACTATACTAAACCAACCTTAACTATTTAGCCAAATATCAGTCATGAATTTTATGAAAAGAATATTAAAGGTCAAAAGACACATCTTTATTCTGCGATCCGTCATTTACATTCTTATACATTTTCACCTTTCCATTACCTATAAGTTATGAAGCCTACTACGATTAGTTCGTTGACGCATAGAATATGAAGGATAAGACTGAATTTGAGACAAATCAAAGAGATGTCTCATAGTTGGTCGACCATGAGGGCAATTCTACAAGATGTATATGTGTCATTAAAACTTTTATTTAGAACTTCAAACTTTCAAATATATTTACCCATGGTTGATCAATTTCACCCATATGCCTTACAATCTGTCAGAATATTTAATTTCATATTAACACCTATTTAACAAGTAAAAAAATTCATTATTAACGTTAATACCTTTTCCATCTGCTGAAATGATAATGCATCTCCAACCATTACAGATTTACGGCAGGCTCGAGAGGCAAACATCTTTCGAACTTTTGAGCATCGAATCATTTCTCCGGGTCTTTCAGTCAGTAGAAAAATTAATTCTTCCAAATCTATAAATTATTTTAATAAAACTTATAAAGATGCTGTAAACATTACATAGGATAAATATTACCTTCGACGCCAAAAATAATATCTTTACTCATTGGTTGCGATATCAATTTTAGTTTTTTTGTTGGTTGAGCCTCTAAATCAACCTCTATGTCGAATCCATTTGCTTTTAAGATGTCTATGTTGTCAATGGCAACTAATTCTTGTGCAGCAGTGAGTTCCAGATACCTGGGACTAAATGTAACAAGGTTATAAACAAAATAATAATAATAATAATAATAATAATAAATATGATAATACAATAATAATAGTAATAATGAAACATAATTGTCCAAACCTGATTAATCTCTGAGAATCAATTTTGGTGTGAAGTTGAAGTTGTTCAAAATTATATTTCTCATCTGACGCGTGTTGGTCAATGATTAACAAATCACAGCCATTATCTTTATATAGTTTAGCAATAATAAATCCAAGGTTAAATTGACCAACAATTTCCATTATCGCAAAGTCATCTTTCTTTATAACCCTATTTAGTTCTTGTTCGGCAGCTTCATTATCTATGTTATTAAGCTCATTAGATCCATTTTCATTTGTAGATAATTTTTTTATACCTTCAGTATTAAGGCGCGTAAAAGTTGAGTGAAATGGTTTAAAAGCATTGTTCATTTCCTTTTGTGAAATTGCTTTAAATTCCATTATCGCAAAGTCATCGTTCTTTATAACTCTATTTTGTTCTTGTTCAGCAGCTTCATTATCTATGTTATTAAGCTCATTAGATCCATTTTCATCTGTAGATAATTTTTTAGTATTAAGGCGCGTAAAAGTAAAAGCATTGTTCATTTCCTTTTGTGAAGTTGTTTTAAATTCCATTATCGCAAAGTCATCGTTCTTTATAACCCTATTTAGTTCTTGTTCAACAGCTTCATTATCTATGTTATTAAGCTCATTAGATCCATTTTCATTTGTAGACAATTTTTTTATACCTTCAGTATTAAGGCGCGTAAAAGTAAAAGCATTGTTTATTTCCTTTTGTGAAGTTGCTTTAAATTCCATTATCGCAAAGTCATCTTTTTTAATAACCTTATTTAGTTCTTGCTCAGCAGCTTCATTATCTATGTTATTAAGCTCATTAGATCCATTTTCATTTGTAGACAATTTTTTTATACCTTCAGTATTA